AGTGGATACTGCCAGGACAATTTAATACTGTCTTTTGGCACCCTAGGATCTGCTTGGAGATTACTGCTCCCCTCCCCAAAAGACCACGGCCCTCCCTGCCCCGTGTGGGACAGCCCGCCCCGCCCCTGCGTGCTGCCGGTATGCCGGGCGGTGCGCCCCGCAGCAGGGGTAAGGCAAGCCTGGCCCACCCGGGCCCGCCCCCCTGTCACCCCGACACGACAGCTATGCCTGTAATGGGGACACTTCGCTGTTATTCTCGGACAGGCTAGACTCCTCCCAGGCTTCGCATATGGCAGGTTGAAACAGTAACACTCATAAATACATGAATGTTTTGTTTACCCAATCACATATCTCTCCCCCTCTCTCCCTCTATACAAGGGTTTATGTGCACATCCAAAATATATCTATCTACCTATTTATCCATCCAGCGATCTATCTATCCATCTATCTACCATCTGTACATCTATCCATCTACCCATCTATCTATCCATCTACCAATCTATCTATCCATCCATCTATCCATCTACCCATCTATCTACCCATCTATCTATCTATCTATCTAGTATCTATCTAATGAAACATATAAAATAGATAGACAGATATCATAAGTCAAAGAGCCTGTTTCGCAGGCTAGATGGGGCGGAGGGGGTCCCTGTGAGGAATGCCCGGGCGTGCGTCCCTCAGCAGGGGATGGTCTCTCTGCCCCACCCCGGTATAACCCCATCAATTCCACCGGCATTCTCCGGCTTTACGTGTTACCGGGGCAGTTGGACATGTGTAACGCTATGTCCAACTACACATGTTACTCTTACTAGTACATGGAACCAAGGACGATCTAGTGGGTCTTCGAAAGATTTTCTGCAGGTACAAAACAAATATTCTCCCCCGATTAATCAGAATAATTTTAGATAGCGATTTACCGAAAGAACATTTGACCTGATGCAACACATGTAACTTCATTTTTGTGCGAACAAATAGAACTGCGTGTATTGGTTTCCACTATTCTTTTCTCGGATTTAGATGCGAATTGGGAAAACGTGTAAGCTTATAGGGCAGGTTTCTTAGTGGCGAGGTGTTCACCTAATTTCAGTCGTCTCATAGTTTTTATCAAGCCTCGAAAATAGCCCGAAAGCTGAACGAAGCAATATCGGACCTCCATAGCATCCCTCGGTGATATTTCCAAATTGCGAATTAGCAGTTTGGATATTTTGGTTGCAACACGAACCGGGGAATGTGCAATCAACAACACAGCGCGCAGTTGTTTCTGGGGAACGTCCGTCAGGACACATGTCGACTTGAGATGACCGGTATGCGGCCACTGGACACTCGTGGTGGTCAGTGAGCTGGTGACACAAATGGGTTAATCTCCAGGCAGCTTCTCTGGCGCGAGGGGAGTCTCAAAATGGATACAATAAATCAATATTGGCCACCTGTAAAAATTGGCCTCCTGTTAATTTCCAAGCAGATCCTAGGGTGGCAAAAGTCAGTAGCAAATTGGCCAGGCAGTGTCCATTCGCCAGAGAGGTAGCCTCTACCAGGCTTGAGGGCGCGGCTGGAGATAGTAGAAATTGGCCAAATAAAGAGATAACACGCCGAGGGAGTTTAGCCATCCAGTTTACAGTTTGCCGGCCCCTCGCTACCAGAGAGGGTCCATACGCCTCCTGTATCAATTAGCCGCTACTGCCTGGTCAATTTGATATTGGTTGGAGATTACAGATCGGTAGCAGTAGAAGTCTGGCTCACCTGATATTGGGTCATTAAATTTGAGTTTTTACCACTAGATCAGAGAATTAGAGTCCGAAATAGATTTAAAATCACTATATTCTGACTTGCTGCATTTAACTCATTTATGAAGGCACTCCATAATCTTCATTTATTCAGTAATTGGAATTACTTCGATTTGACATGTATCTCATCAAAATAACCTACATAATCGAGACACTACAGAGAACTGACATGGTACAATCAGGTGCATAATACGTCAAGTAGATTAAATCCCTACTCTGTATGTGCCCACATAAACATAAATTTGGCTTCAGACATATCCAAATATATATTCATTAGAAAATATGATACTAATGCTATCACCCTCTCTCAAACTGTAGTCTTATGTGTCTTAAGGGTCTTCTTTTATGCCTTTATGTTTTAGATGTAGATTTTGTACATAGACAACTTTATTTTATGTAACTTTTCTCTGGCTGACTGAAATATGCAACCTAAGTCCCTGATGGACCGTGTGTTGCTGATAGCGACCAAACGGTGGCGACGTTTCCCGCCGGTCAGCAAATCCGCCCCGTCACATACCGATCACTCAAACCCAGGCGGCGGGCCAGGACGGAAATAGCGCCCGCCTGTTCAGGGGGTGACACACTTTGCGTCTCGGGACCTCAGTCAGGTCCTAGTGTGGACTTTGTAAGAATTAGGAGAGTAGAAACAGAAACAAACTCCTGGCCCCGGGCCGGGGATCGAACCCACGCCAAACCCGGGCACCAGCTTCAGACCCCGACGCTCTAACGATTCGGCTAAAAGGTCTGGACCCACAGGCCCGGTCAGATTCCATACGGCCTTTGATAAACCAACTCTAACTAATCATAAAGCTACAATATATTTTTACAATTACCGGTGCCGAGAGTACTTGACGTTTATATATTAATCTCTAAGCAGATACATGTTTCCAGTTCGTTTTGTTACTACAACCCCCATTTAGAACGTTTCGTCGTACCTCCGTTTCGTGGAAAGCTGGAAATTGAGGGAATACAATTACTTGTTTACGATCCCCAAGCACACGAGGCTTCGACGATTTGTGAGACCAGCAGCCGTGCTTGCTACCCGTTACACGACACGTGCGGCAAAAGAGCCCGCTAATCCCCGCTCGTATCAGTCACTTCGGACTGAGAGAGAGTACGTGCAGACCATCAATAAGCGGAGTCAACGAAAGTTTCTTAAGTTGTATCTCGTTGTGGTCGTGCGTGTTAGCCTCTTTGCTATGTGTAAATAACCAAAACAATTGTAGTTACCATAAGAGACGAAAACACAACGAATATAATTTTGACAACGTACTTTTGCTTTTATATATCTGACAGCCTTTCCTTGGCTTTTAAACCACTATCGATTATACAAACATGCTGCTGCATTCTCATAGCGCTGACTGGGGCATCATGATTATTGTCATCATCCGTAATGATTATCTCGAGTCATGATCAGTCCACGGGAAGGTTCATTTCCCAAAACTCCCCTGGCCAACCCTTCTCCCTATTTGGCTACAGTTTTTAACAGGCGTTGTTAGTCTGATGGAGACTAAAATTTTGTTTCCTCTTGGCACAATGAACTGACGAACATTTATACAAGAAAAACACAGCGGCTAATTAGAAAACGACAAGTGGCTCCCACTGCAGTGTCTATTCTGATCAGCAAACCTGATGACTGCGTTACACAGCTGTTGGTGGAGAAGGGTGGATAAATAGTCCTGATGGTTATTTGATTGCTGGCGCTTGAGTGAAGGCGACGCTGTCTGGTTGTGACTAGGACCTACAGCAGTGCTTAATAGCCTCTACCAGGCTTCGGTAGCGGCTAGAAAGAATTAGCCTCTACCAGGCTTCAGAAGCGGCTGGAAAAAGTAGAAAGTAACGAAATAGATAGATAACATGCCAGGGAAGTTAGCCCGCTAAGGAAGAACTGCCTCCACAAGTGTCCGATTCTCGTCCTGTTTTCGTTCTGTAACTATGGTAATGGCAATACAATTGGATGATTTTTACGATACGCCATTTGGATAATTTTTATTTATTAATTAATCTCCAAGCACACCTTTTGGTGGCTGCAAAGACCGGTGCAAAGATAGTACCAAAATTGGTCTCGCCAAGGACCTTCAACGTCCTTCACTCCTTGGTCTGGCAAAATCCATTTGCCAGGCAGTTACCATTTGCCACCAAAAAGGGCTGGTATAAAGAAAGATCTCTATAAAGTACAAAAATAGAGACTGCTAGAAACACGTAAAAAATAAGCCATAGCCTAAACGTCTGCCTGGAGAATAATATCACAACCCACTTCGCAAAAACATCGCATTTCGTTGCATCATGCACTGTATGTATGAACCTGTTGTAACTCTTCTTACATGTACGTTTGGAACACTTTGCATTTATTTTTTCAGATTAATGTTTCATTAAGTACTCATGTTTAGACAGGCAGGCGTCCGCGCAAAATGACAGCTACACGTGTGGTTGTACAATCAACAAACATACCGAAACAACTCCTCTTTTTGAGCACTCCTCTACAAAAATAGCCTCCCACAACTCCTGAATCGTGAATGAACTAAGGAAACGAAGGAGGAATGTAGGCCTGTAAAGCCAGATATTTAACGTCCACATCTCTATATTCAGTGATGTTATTTATGAGGTATTAGTGTACATTTGGACGTGTCCCTTTTACATAGCTTATTTCATGTGACCATATAATGTTAGACTGTTCCATTCTGGGAAAATTTATGGGGTGGATGACATTGGTTTTTCATCCAAACTTGGACTATTAGCCTCAAAGCTGAAGGGGCATTACAAATGTATATGGCCTCTCCCAAGGCAAAAGTAAGAAAAGCCAAAGTCTATGGATTTCTTTTACCAATGTAATGAAAAGATTTGTAAGGGGACTAAGAAGATACTACAGAAATGAAAAAAAAAAAATCACACACTAACCTGTAGTGCTGACCAGGCTCTTTAGGTAGTTTCTGTGTTCAGCCCAAGAAGGGCATCTTTTTATGTTATTTACATTTCATAGTCTCTATCAGACTTCTTTAATGGCAAATACAACAGAATTTGGCCAAAGCATAGACTGGATAGCGAGGCTACACCTCCAAGGAGATGTAGGTTTAGGTTTAGCAATGAATATGATCTTGAGAGAAGCCTGATGAAAACTATGTTCTTGACAAACACACATACACACATGTACAAGTCAAACAAGAACCAGAACTTGAACATTTCAAACAACAAAACTATCCACAAATTCTGATATGTAGCTGTATCTTTTATTATATCAACATGAAATCTTTATATTCTACTGGAAAAGTCTCTTTCAACATGAACGAACGCAACTTTCTTTGTATTTCACTAGAAAAGTCTCTTTCAAAGTGAACGAACATAACTTTCTTTAACAACAACCTTCTTGGATGGGTCTTCTTCTTTGGTCTGGTTACCACACCTATTTTAGCTGCCAGGTCTCTTTTGTTGGAGAGGACTCAGCAGCTAACATAGGTTTGGTATAAACCAGGCTACATATTGTTGGTTAGTTATTCATTGTCTTGGCCTATCTCCTTCCAAGGGGCTGTGAAGACCTAGAAGAACAGCGTCGGCTTCTAGGAGTGTGGCGTTCTTGGTCCCTCCGATAAACCTCGTGGAAAGCTCCAGGTCCTTCAGTCGCAATCGTACCTTCACTCCTCTGTGATATTTCCTGTGGAATCAAATTTGGAGGTATTAGATATCATAATTACAATTACAAGTTTATTGACAATGACAATGAACTTTATTGCATAGTCACACCCTACATGGGCCAAATGCACTAAGTTAGGTAACTGACTCTTAAACTGAAGTTCAATGGTAGAAGGAACAAGTGTTACATTGCTGTGCTACCTCTAAATCTACAGGATCAGTCTCTCTTTTTGAAACATGTATGAACAAATTTTATTGTAAGTGTTTGCCCTAATTGCAGGTACACACAACATGAAAATAAATGGATAGCAATATAAAATGTGACTACTCTAGTCTAGTTTTGTCCTTGAATGTTAAAGCTGTTTTTTACAGATTGTGATGATAAATACTGCGATGAAGACAGAAAAGGATCATTAGTTAGAAACAAGCTCCTTCTTTTCTTGTTCTTTCTTTGTTGCTTGTGTCAGACTTGAGGAATGCAGCCCTACGCGTCCGCAGTGCTTCGGTGTAAATGTATCTCCACCCGGCAGTGTATACCGTAAAGTGCCGAGTGTCTGCAGTAGTATTGATAGTCAATAGGTGTAACCGTGCTCCTGTGGGAAAGACGCTATAGCGTCCACACAACACGGGCCACCTAACAGGCAGGTCGCACGCGGCTCGACAAGGCAACGCCAAATAAACTTGTGGGTTCCCAGATCTAAAAGCATATTCATTGAACTGGAAGATCAACAAAGCAAAATTTGTTCTTTTGGTTCACAAAGTTTCAGAACTTAGATTGTAAATTGTATGATTAGGAAAGAGTTCTACTCTCTAACTGTATCAAAGAACATTTTCCATACATACCAAATAGACTAAATGCAAAGGATAAATTTATATTTTGATGCACTAAGACTACTATAAGAAACGTTACCTAAACATGTACAAAGAAGTGTATCTGATTCTGACTCTTCTCAATTTGAATTTGATTCTACTCAATTAACTTAGTACAACACTTTTGTCAACAATGTCAAATACTAGTGTCTACACTTTCCTATGTTCGTTATATGTTTTTAGGTCATACGACATGTTACAACTTATAGTCATACCTAGTCTTTCCAAGGCATGAATGTACAATAAAGGTCTTTCATTTTAAAAAAGTGACTACTGTATTCTGATGCATGTGTGCTAATGGTCCCCTTCAATCAGTAACACTTTTGTCTACAATGTATGTTTAACTTGTGTCTACACTTTCCTATGTTTCTTATATGTTTATTAGGTCATACGACATGTTACAACTTATAGTTATACCTAGTCCTGCAAGGCATGAATGTACAATAAAGGTCTTTCATTTAAAAAAAAGTGACTACTATACTCTGATGCAAGTGTGGTAACAGTCCCCTTCAATCAGCTTAGTACAACACTTTGGTCTACAATGTATGTTAAACTAGTGTCTACACTTTCCTATTTTCGTTATACGTTTATTACGTTATACAACATGTTGACTTACATCTTATACCTAGTCCTTCGAGGCATGAATGTACAATAAAGGTCTTTCATTTTAAAAAAGTGACTACTGTACTCTGATGCGAGTGAGGTAACGGTCCCCTTCGAGGTGTGTACCGTACAGGGGGTCACACGCGTCTCACTAACAAGTGAGGTCTGGCTGATCACTGCTAACACTGCGGGGTCAGAACAGTTTTAAGAGGATAAGCTTTCCCTCTCCACCCTGCTGCCATTGTCCCAGGGGTATCCCCTTACCGCTCTACACGTCTCCTGTGGGAGCGTTTACAAACGCACGGCGACACCCGCGCGACAAAGCGGCAACAGGCGCCGAACTGGCGACACTCCGTCGGAACTTGACCCTTTGGAGCCAACCTCCCGGGTAAAATCCAACCAATTTTACGCCAAGAGTGTGGGAAAAACGTGTAACACCCCCTAAGGGTAATTGGGTTTGTATGTAAGGTGTTGACTGAGCTGGGTAATGATACCCTTAAGGGAGCTGTTTGCTTTAAGACGGCCACACGGACACGCTTTGTTCAACCCAAAGGGTTAAGGGCCGACAGGCGACATATGAAGGACCTGAGGTGTCAAAACTAGTGCGACACATAACAATACCTGGTCATGTCCCACCTATATGGGTCACCCACACTCTGTAATACAGTCTGTAACTAGTAATAAAGAACTTAATTATATATAAAGAAGTGACTTGCAAATCTCTAAAATATGCCAAAACAATGAGATTAAAACATTTTAGAAAAAGGACATGAGAGATGATTATGATAGTCTTCTAACTTCCAAATGGATGGGCATTGGGCAGGATGTTAGAAAATGTAGCCTGGCATTCAGTCTATCGCAGTTTGTGTGCACTCTGTTCGAGACATGGTACTACCGTATTGGTAGACATTCAGGACCTTCAAAGATACAGGTACAGGTACATAGCCCTAGCCTCTACCAGGTTTCAGGAGGCGACTGGAAAGAGTAGAAATTGGCCAAATAGAGAGATAGCATGCCAGGGGAGTTGGTCTGAGCTAGAGAATACAGTGTGCCGCTCCCACTGGCATAGCCCCACTATAGACGTATTTACTAAGTACAGTCAAACCTATCCAAGCTGGCCACATAGGGGACCAAAGAAAAGTGGTCACCTTGGAAAGGTAGTCTCCTTGAAGAGGGTTGCCTAACAACATGACTGAGACATAAATGATTTCCAAGTCGAGATGTTTTGATGTCAAATGCTGTAAGCATCTTCAGTTCTGTGGTGAATGCATGTGGGGAGGGTGGCACATCCAGCAGTCAAGGCAAACGGGCTGGTTTCTCCATGATTTCTCATTATATTAGTTATCATCAATAATCAACATGATCGTGTTGGCCAGGTGGTCACCTTGCATCAATGGGGAAAATTTTCTAGACCGAGAAAAAGCGGTTACCATGGCCAGAAATGAAGAGGTCGTCATCTTAGCAGGTTTGACTGTACAGTAATACAGCAGTTTGCCTGCAAATTGTACCTTGCAGGTGGGTATTTCATGCCCTAGCTCCCCCCTAGTCCTGAAGCAGCCAGTAATTCTTCCCTTTCACGACCTTCAGTGACTTCACTTTAACAAGACAGCTCCAGGACTCTGCCCCAACCACTTAGCCTCAACGCCGGAGAAATCAGCGAAAATTGGCGACCAAAGTTCAGCCACGTTTTAGCAAAAGGGCCGCTGACAAACGAGGATAACTGGAAACAGGAGCGGGAAGTTTTTTCCCACGATCTCCCAGCATCATAACGAGCAATGAATGTGGCACAAGGCTGGAGGATAACACTGAACAGATTACTAGCTAGGAGGCCATTTCAAGTTTTTCTGATGGATGACATCTACTTGGAATCCTACAGTCCAAGAATCTCCAAGATAAAAGATCTTTAATGGTCATATTGGTCTATGCTGGTTGCTCGTTTATGGGTTTTAAAACCACATTGTTAGCTACATGGGGTCATAACAAATATGAAATGGGGACTTCTGATTGGTCAACATCATCTGGACACATTATGGCTATATGCTAATAATGTTTAACTTACTACAATGCATAAAAATATGTCATTGTGGCTAGAATATTGACTTTGAAAATCCAGTTTTAAGCCCTGATACTGCATTGGGCACCTTTAAACCTCCTTGTTGAAGCAATGAATTGATATATCCTTGGTTGAAGGGAAAATATGTAAAACATGAGAATTACCTTATAAGTTATAACCTATACCTGTCTGTCAATGAAGCAAAATATATTCTATTCACTATGATAAACTGTTAACAATCAATGTACTTGTAGACATTAAACATGGAGTCCGACCTTATAACTCCATGCATTAACCACCAAATCCAGTTTGCATTGCCTTCACACCTAATTGTTCACAGGTT